AGACAAGTCGCTATTGCTAGGGTATCTGCTAGTCTATCTACTGTACTTAGTTGACATAATATTATTTGCTTGTGCCGCAAGTTTATTTATGGCAATGGCAATACCGTACTATGGATGCAGGCCATGTACGAATGTTGCGGTGCTGGAGACGACTGTCATTGTATTTGTATCTATAAGAGAGAGATATGCATATGTGTACATATGTATGTAGATATACATATGCATATGTATGAGTGTGTGCATATCAATTCATGAATGAAATCGCCTTGGCATGTAGCTCCCTCTCGCTCGCCCACTCTCTCACACATAAATACACACACATACACTTACACTCACTCACTCGCTCAGTTACTCACTCTCCCTCTCTCGCGCTGTGCCAATTGTAAAGCACACACAGAGCCACTCAACACAGGAAGTTGAGCCGCATTGCCGGCATTTTGAAGAAGTTTTCGTTGTTGTTGTTGTTGTTGTTTATGCGGCGTTTGCTGTCTGGTGGTTAACAAATTTGTTAAGTCATGCCGCCCCGATCTTCTCACAACAGCACATGAAAAACAAATATTTATCCTCTCTGCGACGTAACTCCACAGAAAAAAAATTGACTTGGCCAAAATCGAAAGAAAAACCAGTAGCAACAGCCCAGAAATTGTAAATAAGCAACTGTATCTTAATGAGTTACGTAAACAGACATAAAACGGACGGACGGGCGGACAGACCAAACAACTCTTTTGCATAGGCAAACAAATGTACGAGAAATTGCAGAACCAAGAAATTGAGATGAAATGCATGAAAAGTTAAATATTGAAAAGATCAAAGCAATATTGGAGACCGAAATGCTTTTTATAATACCGGCAAAGAATTATGAACGGAATATAATAAAATATACATATGTATAAGGATCATCAATGGAACTTAATTGAATTGTTTGATCAATAGAATTATTTATGATCAATTTTAATTCATTCCAATGTACTCAGAACTAGTTCAATAGTTCATTTCAATTGGACAAGCAATTCTAAACAAAGCTAAAATCAAACAAAAATAAATCATAATCATAATATTGATATTATCAGAGAACTGATTTCTGACAGTTGCGTAGAATCCATCTAAATCAAAGTTTACCCACAACAAATGTCTTGAGTGCATTCTTGTGTATTCCGAATCAACTCATTTTCCAGGTATTTGTTTACACTCGGCCCAACCCCTTTTTCTATGGCACTTCAGCGAAAGTCAGGGCATAGTTGAAATTTCAGTTCTGTGGCCTAGGCTTAGGCATCCTTTTCTTGGAAGTGCAAAGGACTTGGAGGGAATGCTTGCCTTATATCTTTGCCGCGCCTATCTCTAGCACGCCCCGAGTACTTCCTCTCTTTGTCCGTCCGTGCTACCCCCTGTCAAAAGTAAGCCGGAAATGCTTGTAGGCGTGAGATATCTTCATCACCACGTCCTCTGCTTTGATTGTTTGGGCAACAGCAAGTTCTTTGATCTTCTCGGAAGATACTATTCGTGTCGACTTCAGCCCTTGGAGCTCGAACAATTTATGCAGGTATTCCCATCTCACTCACTCACGCAGTCACTCTGCTGCTCTTCGACTCGAGTGAGATTTATGCTAGCTTAGGGATTATTTGGCACTCAGCTCGGCCTTTCTTTCGTATTTGTTTTGCTCATTTTTTT